CAGACATGAAATTGAATAACGAAAAATAAATAATAAAATATATAATTTGAGTACAAGTTATGGCGACAAAAATTGTTCATTCCAAGTGTCGCAAGGACAATCATATTTTCACTCCTTCACTTACCATTTAAATTTTGAGGAAGACATATCTCTACATTTTCCAATTTTAAATATTTCGTGTATTCGTAATCCGTATTTATCATCATTATTTACCTAAGGAAACAAAAGTATTTTTCTATCTACAAATTTTTCGAAGAATGAATAAAAAATTAATAATTTCTAAAAAAAATTAGATAATTAATAGATTAATAAATAATTAAATATAAGTAAAAATAATTAAATTTAAAAAAAAATAAAATATTTAAAGTATATATTATAAATTGTAATAATATAAAAGATTAATTCATAAATAATATTTAAAATAAATTTATATTATAAATTTATATGCACTTATACTTTAATCTATAAAGCATAGAAGTTTTTTAAGTTTTTTACAAATAGTTTAATTCTATTAAATGTAAATATACAATCGAGCTTCGATAACTCGAACCTCTCGACAATTCAAAAACCTCTATAAGACGAAAATTTTTTTCATTCCCTACCGTTCCACAGAGTTGAGAGTTAATCTTATTGTTAACCAAAGTTTTATTAAACTTCAGTTAAAACCGAAATTGGTAGAAACGGGCTTAAGTCGAAAACTCTATAATTCGAAGAGTTTATAACTGTTCCCTTGAGAGGTAAAGTTATCGAGGTTCGACTGTATTATATAAAATTAATAAATATAAAAATTTAAATTACAATAAAATACAAAATAGAAATAATAAAAGTATAAAAAATTATACATAATTTATTTTAGCAAAATAATCCTTTTTCAGGCATACCTGCATTAAAGATAAAGAAGAGAAGCGGAAAAAAGATTTTAGAGAAATCAATAATTTCCATTACTAAAAACAACAGAAAATATACTAATGAAGAGTTTGCTTGGTTTATTAGTTATTCAATAAATCTATGAATAACACATATAAAATTTAACATCTAAACGTACAATATTTCATACGAATAAGTAATTCAGTATATTTATGTGAAAATGCGTGATATGTTTTGTTTCTATTAAAGATAGCTTGTACACAGTTTTAGAACAAGTCAATAAAAAATAATGTAAAGTATTAACAAACACCGTTTTCTTAAAGCTCTACGATAGACACTGAAAATTTCCGTAAAGAAAGATTAAGGATTTCAAGTATATTTCAGCGCTATAGTATTTTTCTCCTGAAAAAAAAAAAAAAAAAAAAGAAAAAAATAGAAGTGAGTTGGTACTAACAATTTCTATTCATATAGTGAAACTTACTATAAATTTTTTATAACATATTTATATATATTTATATATTATATAGTTATAGAGTTATATGAAACATATTATATTATTGTGTTACAGCTAACATATATTGTTACAAATTAATTTTGTGTAAAACTTTTAAAACGGTCTCTTTTGTACAAATAATATACTTTCGCCTTCTTTATTTTATATTAGTGCGGTTTAGATAAAGAAGGGCATATTTTCATCTTATACATAAGTTTAAAAACTTTTGCTTATTGTTTATACATTAATTGAATATTTTTCCCCCTCGAGATTCTCATTGTCAGTATCTTTATTTTAGAATCATTATCAGATTCTAATAAACTAGTTATATCTTTCGGTTGCCGTCCAAAAGATAAGGTGTTTACTGTTTCATCAAATAACACTCTTAAATTTATAATAGTACAACAGTTTATTCACAGATATTACGTTTCAAGTGGTACGTACCGTATTTATTTAATGTATTTGCAATAATAGATAGAAAGAATAGATAGAAATGTATACATTAAAAATTAGTCTTTACATTCCGAATTCTATATGTTGCATTAAATCGTTTACACACATTTTGTTTATTTAGATATCCGATACTGATCAATAATAGTAAAAAGGCACAACGGTGACATATATCCTTAGTTTACATACATTGATGAAAATGGTTTCAGAAAAAGTATCTAATTATAATTAGTTACATATAATAACTAATGCATTGAACGTTATGTAATTGTGTGTTGACCAATTACAAATCTTCAGTTTCTAACTGTGCATTTCTGGTACTTTAGAAAAAATATTGATATTTTGTTTTTGTTTTTTTTTTCAGTTATCTATATATTTTTACTATTTTTTATTTTCCGTTAATAAAATGCAATATTATATTACTAAAAACTGCAGAATGCAAATTAAATATATGCATAACAATATAAATGGGCTTCGCGAATTTTGGCAGAATTTCACATCATACGCAGTTGTCTTCTTTCTTCAGTCCTTCTCATGCATCGTTTAGAAATATTTTTTTTTTAATTTATTCTCCTATTATACTTTCCTATTATTAATAATATGATTCGATATTAATTTTTAAAAATATTTTTCTGTAGAATTTTCGTATCTCTTTCGTATTTCGTTTCATATTTCGCGTTATGATGTACAGTCATTTTCATCGGCCGAGCGTGGAATAGAATTTAGGCTGCAAAAAGAAAATGAAAATTGTCATTACATATAATACATTGTTGTTTTATCGTATATGTAAATGTGTTAAAAATATATTAGAAATATATAGATAGATATATATATAGAAATATATAGGAAAATATATTAGAAATAAATATTTTATTATAATAAACGAGTAATATATGGAAATAACTAATAATTAATAACAAATATAAAAAAATAGTTAAAACATGTTTTGTTTATGAACTTTCAGACAAATGTGTGCAAATTGCACGGGCATTGATTTTTATTTTCCAAAATAAAAAGAAACCCAATTACCTCATCGTGATTCTCTTCCTTATTTCCGTCATCGTCATCTCCAGAACTGTCACCTCCTGAACTGTCAGCGGAATTACGTTGCGGATCTTTGTTATTTAAGCTATCCACAGCAGTCGTGGGTATAGCTTTGATTTTACTAGCGGCATCGTAACATTGTAAACAGACTCTGACAGCTTTCCCATTTCCTTGTCCAGGCAGTAATAATTTCTTATTACTGCATGGTCCACAAACTACTGCTCCACATTGCCTACAATGATGCTGAAATAAACAGTGATTTTAGTTTCTTCAGTAATTACCTGGATCAATTTAATTAATATAACTTTATCATTACCCGTCTGTTTAATACTGTGAATTGTGTTTTATTGCAGTGCATACAAATTGTAGCTTCGTTATCTGGCACCCAAACAGCTGCGTGGACCTCGACAGGCTTTTTACCGCCTAAAAAAAAGAAAAGATTAATAAAAAAAAGATTAAGTTAAAGAGTCATAAACTGCAGAACTTGGAGATTCATCATCTTTTGGAAAACACACATATAGGTATATGTAATAATTTGACTCTTACTTACTCTTTCTTAACAAATCTTCGATACATTTCGTGATATGTGCCATCCATTCTTGCTTTTCTGTTGGAGTAGCAGCATAAACAGCAAACGACTTTGTTACTGTCTTAATGAGCCATCCATTACGATATTCTATAAATAATGATCCAATACTATACTAACATTTTCTAAATATGCATTTACGATCTCATTTGATTATTGATCCATATGCTGTGTGATGTTAAATTAAAAAGCTAAGGTAAGTGCATTATAATTTCTCTAAAAAACAAAACTTGAAAAAATATATGTATATCGAAATTTTTTCTTTTTTTTTACAAGAAATTATCTTGCATGTGCAAGTTTCTTATAATTTCTAGTAAAACTTGTCAAAGCAAAATAACATTGGTATAGGTTTCTTTGCTCATGCTTTCAAAATCTTTTCCTTGAAGGTAGATACATACTTAATGACATACATATATATATATATATATATATATATACATATACATTAGATATATACAAAAGTTTTAATCTTTTTTTCGCATTTTTCGCTTTAAGTGACACCCGTTTGATCACGTTGCGATTGACCACCAGCCATTTACAGCGCTTGAACAGTTCTTCAGGAAAATCTCTAGGCATTGGTCGCTGTGAGTGGCTGTGATCAATCGCAACGTGGTCAAACCATGGGAGGCCTTCCTTTCGCTTTAGAACCATAATACATGCAATAATATTCATTAACCCAAATATTTACTCTTGTTTTCTGTGATTTTCTGCCATCTCTTGAATAAATTTTGAATTTTTATTGTGAAAAAATTATTGTGTTTCATTGTCAATCACATCTCAAAAGCGATTTCTTCGAAAGTTAAATAATGCTACATCAATCAGAATAACTGATAAAATATTTTTATCCAAATATTTAGTAAATCTGCCGCATGTGGAACAACTTTCCGATTCAAATTAAAAATTTGCTGAATATGAAGAGCAACACATGATCTAGCATTTCTGTCTTGCAACAAAATGACCTTCCAGCACAAAATGAGCTTACTTTCATCCAGTAAATGATATTTTCTGTCTTTTTTCAACTCTTTAAAAACGTAAAAAAACAGGGATTTATTTAATTACTAGAAATTTAATTTAAATAATTATACTAGAAAGTAAAAAAAGAAATGTATAACTAAAATGTATTAGGTGTAATTTGCACACATGTAGTATATAGACCAAGCATTCTTATATATTTACTATGCTAGATAGTGTGAAACCAGAAGTTGGCAGTTTATGATTGAGAGAGACATGTATTTGCGGGGATATTGTAAGTCTTTTTAGCTGAACTTACACAAGAGAAACAAAAAAAAATTAAACGGAACAGATCCTCTTTTTACTTTATGGTAAGATATAAGATAGAATGAGATAGTTATCTTGGCAAATATACAATCTCTCTCTGTCGTTTTCTCAGTCGTAAACTGTACCTATCAACTGCCGGTTTCACGTCATAGACAGAATGCTTGGTTTAAATTTTATATATATATATACACATGTTGTTGGTATTTTCAAAATATTCCATACACACATAACATGGATGGAATAAACAGAGGTTGCATTGTGCTTACAAATATATCAAGTAATGTACTTACGACCTTCGTCTGCTAGAGACTCCAACTTTACCTCCTCCAATGGTATTATATGCTGTTTGTTGTACTATAACAAATAATAAAAAAAACTATTATTATTATCATAATTATTTTATATTGTTGCATACAGGGGCCTCATTCTCAAAAATTTTGCAAACAAAAATATTAGAGAAATCTATAGTGTACATAATGTGTACTATAGTATTTTTTTATATCTTTATATGTAAAATTTCTCATGAATAAGACCTAAGACCTCATTTCATACATCATATGCTTTAACTAGAAAGTAAAAGAGAAGACAAATACTGCTCCCGTGTACGCACCTTTTTCTTATTAATCACAATATTTCCGTAAACCAATATGTCGTTGAATAGGAAGAACTGTCTAGGTTTGGGCTTCTTCCTGCACATTTTTGTCAGGACCCCTTCACCCACCAGAACTCGGCCGGGTACTGCGAGCGGCTAAGAATATATTTATAAATAAGTCATCGCTCTAGCTCTCACCGTTCATTGCAAACATTTGAGAAATTTATAAATTTCATTGGCATGAATCTCTTACCTGACCCGAACTGCCGAAGCAGTTTTCGACCATCGCGATACGCCTGGCATTGGCCTCGCTGTTTACTGAAACAAATCAAGCCCCAAGGATGGGGAGGGGAGAAGATTAACGCGAGTGCTCCGAGTGTATCACGCTCGCAACTCGCAACACACACACCCATGTCCCCGAAGAAAAACGCGTTTCGAGCAAGCACAGTTAACGAGGACCGTCCTTTTAAGCTGCACTTTTCACACCCCGTCCAAATTTCATTTCTTTCTCTCACGTGGCACGTCACGAGAGAGACGTCACGTCTTAAAATGTAAAGAATATAGCGAAGATAAGAGGGTAGGAGGGAGCGTGCGGCTAAATAGTGCGGAATTATTGTTTCGGGCTGTCTAGAGCTGTCAAAAGCACACGGCCCACCAACGCGCAGGGGCTGATAGGACAGGCCACGGACGGAACCGTTATCCCCGCGCGCAAGTCGCACAAAAAGATTGAGACGGCCCGGCGTTATTCGCGATCGAGTTTGCGATTTGACATGAAACGCGTGTGTGCTGTCTGAAGTTGCCCGGGGTGCCCGACGGCCTCGCCTTTTCGCGAGATACGTGTAATTAATTAAATGCTAATAAACGGAGCACGAACTAACCCAATCGGTCGACCATGATCCCATGAATCAGGGCTGACAACAGTAGGAAGCGTGAATCACGTTCAAATACGTAAGCCTTTTGGCTGGATCCTCATGCAGACACCGGCCGCGCTTTGACCTTTGACTATATAATCATGGACCGCTAGTTGCCCCGTCCCACCACCCCTCTCACCCATAAGGTTATGTATCCAACATGAAGTTGGCTTTAGCCCC